CCCCCTCTTCCCTCATCCACCTTCCCCACTCCTGGAATCTCTCGCTATTTCCTTCTCGCCTCGCCAAAAGGCCTTTGTTTTCGTGCAGGTTGTCGTAAACAAAGCCAACCATCTGGCCGGCTTGAAATCCTTCACCAGAAGTTCAACCCACGTTACCTCAGCTCAAACACAAGAAACAGCCGGAATTCCTGCAGGTCCTGTCATTCACCTTCTTTCTCCGCACTGTGGGATCTCACTCCGTAGGGTTCAGGGCTGGTTATCAAAAGATCGGAGCAAGATCTGGCAAAAACAGCAGCGCTGAAGGCACAGGTACAATCCAGGGCCAAACAACTCGAGCTCCTTTGTCTAGAGGGGGTGTGTAGGAAAGCACTGAATCGATACGGATTCTGTCTCTCAAACACCTGCAGCTATTGCAAGGAAAAGGAGGGTTATTTTTAGAAGGCCTTTCATGAAGAGGTAGTGCCTTTTGTGGCTTTGCCGTTGGGAATTTTGTTTCTATTCAGCCTGAATCCTGTGATGGAGCGAGTGAAGCTGAACGAGGTGGATGCTTTTTGAAAGGGAAAGCAGAACAGAGGCAGATGGTGAGGGGGAGAAAGTAAAAATAGGAAACACGAAACAAATATATTGTCAGAGATGCCGCTTTTCTCTAGTAAAAATGTATTTGCTTATTGGTTTGTTTGAATGTTCAGCTTTTTTTTTTTTTTTTTTACTGTGTATTGTCTGCATCGAAAGCTTTATTGCATGTTAGGTACTACACAGCGTAACTGAGTTGCTTTTTAATATAAAAATTATTAATTCTTTGCAGATATGATGATAACTTCGATGAAAGACTCAAGCTATGAAACTCCTGTGAAAGAATTTAAATGTCATGAATCATCTCCAGCAGTGACCAATAAATGTAAGGAATCCTATTTGGATATTACTTGGTTTACACAGATCAAGGTGGAATGAAATGCGGGTCTTGCTAAACTTCATTTTTCTTAAAATCTTTCAGAATAAAACAGTTCCTGTGTTGTATCATGAAAGCCCAAATGACTGTGAGCTCATTTTAGAAATGAGCTGTTTGAAAGCTGAGTGTCATTTTATCTTTTATAACCTGTTCTTAACAAATTGGCACGTTCTGAAAATTCATTAGACTTCAACACAAGCAAAGACTCTTGCTGGAATGAATCCTGTTGGGATAAAATTTGTGGTTTGCAGCTTTATTATAATTTCTATTATTAAATAGTTGCCACTGATTCTGTTTCAGGTTAGAAACGGACTGGTTAAAACTATGAAAGAGGAGAGTTTGTCTTTGGGGGGGGGGTATTAATGTCCCTGCCGTGCTGTGTTTTCAATGAGGTGTCAGTATTTCACTGGAACGTGGAAATATGGGACTCTGTGCCAGTGTCACAAATCCCTTTCTGTCTAGAAATAACACTTTTGTAACAAATGGCTCAGAAAGCAAAGGGAAGACTCCCTGCAGGAGAACATTATGAAACCAAACATATCAAGAGGTGTCTGAAAGGGGTTCAGTTCATGGAGGGCAAGTCTTCCCACTCCTGCTTAATGGAACGCTTTGGATTCACCCTCTTGTCTTCAAAGCCTTTAAATAACAGATAACTGGAAGCTGGGAGAACATCCCAATTCCAGGACTGAGCTTTGCATTCTGCAAACAGGCCACTTGGCTGGATCAGCTTGGGCTCTGCTCTGCTGCACAGATAAATGAATTACAATACGAAGAAATCTGCATTGGCATTGCCAGGGAGCAGTTCCTCAATCCCAGCTCACAAAGACTTCTAAAACAGGAGACAAAATCGGGTATTTAAACACATTTCTGGGTTTACTGATGGCTCTTGTAGCAACACAGGGCATTTTATAGTGAAAATGATGCTTCAGGAGGCAGAAGGCTTGTGGAGTTTGTGAGGTACATTATCGCTGTGTGCAGAGCTGGGAGCTAAATTTGGGAGCTCAAAGATGAGATGCTTGCCCTGGAAACTAATGAAGCAACAGTAAAATATTCATCAGCAGAAAGGTGGTAGCACAGCCAGGATTTTCAGTTGACGGAAGAAGAGAGAGTGACTTGAAGTAATGCCATGATTTCAAGACAAACAGGAACTTGAAGCACACAACAGCTTTTGGTGGTTCACACAGTTCTGTTATTTGGAATGTGAGTCTATTTAGACAGACAATAACTATATTTGTGAAGGCAAACAGAAGAAATAAGTGTGAAAAGCCTCTTAATAGTCCTGTTTACTTGCAAACAGTATCAGTAAGTAAGTATTTTACAGAAATAATGGTGAATGAGAAGGAATTATCTCATATTTCAATGAAAGAGTGAAGTGTAAGATATTCTTTTTATATGCATATATCACTGAGAATTTGGGCTATTTTGAGAGAAGCTGTAATTATGCCACAATAATCTTTTAAAACTTACTTCTCTATAAACTCACACAGTAAACTGTGCCATGAAAATCTGCTCACGTGCCGTAGCTGTAAATGAAACAAAGACTGAAATAGATTTCAGGACATGATGGCTTTTTTCTTCAGTTCTTTATTTTCAAGTTATGTAAATGTTGGACACCAAACAAAACCAAAATTGTTTTGGTTATTCAGCTCATTCAGCAGATTGAAATAAATGTTTCTTATCAGCCTTCAGTCATGTCCCAGTTCTTGAGCCAACTCGTTACTGTGACTGTACCAAAACCAACAACAGAAATGAAAACAAAAAAAAAATTAAACTGATACATATGACTTTCTCTCTCTTGTTTAGATAAAATTATCCATAAATATTGCCAGCTGCTGGTCTGCATTTTTATTTGTTTATTCAAAAATGCAATGTGTGTCCAGGAGCTGGTGCAATGCAGCCTGTGTGCTCTAATACACAGTGAGAGCAGAGACTCCACATTTACGCTGCATTTCCCTTCTCTTTGTGTCACCGATTTAGTATTTTAACAGGTAAGTCACACTTCAAACATTTTTTTTTTGGTTTTTTTTTTTGCTCTTTAGGGGACGATTCCGATTTTGTCTCTGACTTGGCCTTTAAGAAGGTAAGATAACACTTACAGAACTCCTGCTGGGAATTGTTGCTTGGGGAAACTTCAATTTATTTATTTATTTATTTTTAATTCTAACACATTTACTTCAGTTTGATATCAAGTGGATATTCAAAAAATACATATCGCGTTACCTCTTCCTCTGAGCTTCAGTGACTTGCAGAAAGCACTTTGTACCTGCGCACCGCTGACCGCTCCCTCAGTGACCATAGTTACTGCCCTGTTTTAACGTTAAAAAAACCCTTTTAAACCGTTTTCCTTAAAAAACGGGCGTCGAACCCTCCATTCTCCCCCCCCCTCGCCCTCACGTGATTTTCGCGCCATCAGCGCGCGCCGCCGCCGGTCACGTGTCCACCCCCCCGGTCACGTGGCCCGTGTTTACCTCGGTCGGCACCGCGGAGGGTGAGGGACCGACCCCGGGGGGAGCATGTGAGGGACAGAGTGAGGGACCGACCCCGGGACCGACCCCGGGGCACCCTGTGAGGGGGCGGCGGGAGCGGGACGGGCTGAGGGCTCGGGGGACGGCGCTGGGGAAGGACTTGTCGCCTCTCGGGGGTGGCGCGACGCGGGACTGTTCCCCCTTGGGCGGCGTGAGGGGCTCTTCTCCCCGCCTCGGTGGCGGCTGTGTGAGCGGCTTTTCCCCCCTCAGGGGCGGCTGTGTGAGGAGCTCTTCTCCCCCTGCCTGGCGCGGCGGCGTTAGGGGTTGGTCCCCACTTCAGGGGCGGCTGTGTGAGGGGCTTTCCCGCCCCCTCAGGGATGGCTGTGTGAGGGACCTTTTTCCGCCTCAGGGGTGGTTGTATGAGGGACCTTTTCCCCCCTCAGGGGTGGTTGTATGAGGGGCTTTCCCGCCTCCTCAGGGGTGGCTGTGTGAGGGACCTTTCCCCTCCTCAGGGGTGGTTGTATGAGGGGCTTTCCCCCACCCTCAGGGGTAGCTGTGTGAAGGGCTTTTCCCTCCCCTCAGGAGAGGTGGCATCAGGGGCTTCTCCCCCCCCAGAGGGGCTGTGTGAGCAGCTTTTCCCCCCTGTCGGGGGTAGGTGTTTGACATCCGAGGAGCCAAAGGCGTGTGGTTGTCACCCATCAGTCCCCACTGTGGTGGCTCAGAACACTGAGGTATTACCTCTTCTTCTGAGCTGCCCCTCACTAAAGCCCTTCCTTTATTTCCAGGCTCACCATGTCCCTGCCAACAAAGAGGTGTGGAAGGCCCCCGGTGTTGTCCTTCCTGGAAAAGAAAAAGAGAAAGCAAAGTCTTGATAGAAGAAGGGGGAAAACGAGGATTTATGTGGGCAGTCACATTGAGCGATGGCTGACGCTTAAGGAGAAGTTGGATTTCAGGAACGATGCAGAAGTTGCAGGGTTTTTATTGGACTTGTGAGTACATTGTCGCAGCACTCCTCTGTTTAACAATGTCAACTAAATAGTTCTGGGTGTTGATACCAGTTGTGTGTTTCCTTGCTAGGTATGACAGCCACGACCCATTGTCAAAAGCCCCGCTCTGTCCCCTCCCTGAGGGTATCAGAAGGATCACTGTGAAGGAAGAAAGAGCTTTGTCAGGCAGCACATCTTTAATAGCAGCAGATGGAACGTTAGTACTGTCCTCTCTTTATGTGGGAAGGGTGAATGAAATGTTTTTCTTGGTACTGCTTGAAAGACTGTAGCTGGTATTTAAAAATCATAGGGTGAAAGTTATATATATAAAAGAAAAGTGCAGTATAATTTAATTAAAATTTAAGATTTTTAATACTTTTTGTCAAAGAGCTTCTGTCAGTTTTGTTGTTTGTATTGTTGAGCACGTGACACTGGTGAAGACGAAACAGGGACAGAAGTTTTTTGGCAGAAGTGTTTCAGTCAGTGTTTTGGGTTGTATTTGCAGGTATGACAACAATGACCAGCTGCCTAAAGAATCTGCCTGTTCTGGAGTGGGAGATATGAGAGTCGTGACTGTGAAGGAGGAGCGAGAGACACCCCGGGACGGCGCGTTGGCAGGGGCAGATGACACGTTAGTGACACTCTGGTCTTTTTGCATGTTTTGCACTTGAAAGTATTTTGGATCGGTTTTATTATCACGTTTAATTTTGTTTATCAGAAGTTCACGTCATTCACGCTCTGATTCATTATCTAGAAATGTCTTGGTGCGTAAGAGATACTCCAGTTCTTCTGAGGGAAACGTCAGAGAGATTTTGGAAAAGCTGTGAGGGTTCACACAGCAAAAACACTTGTTCAGTGGCTGCCTTCCCTAGCTGTGTCCAAGGTTCACGAGTGAACAAGGAAATAGCCGGTACTTTCCACGTGTCCTCCTCAGCAGTTGGGTATTTGCAGTAGTACAGTGTCCAGGCAAGTGCAGCTGCCTGTGCTTTACCCTTTCTCCGAAGAAAACTGTTTTGTTGTTGACTGAGTGATGTTGCACACTGAGTGATGTGTTAAACTATCTAAAACTAGTGCTGTGCTCAGCGAGGCCACCCCACCATCGGCTGCTGGTCTGTGTTACTGCAGTGTCTCCAGTAACTGAGGCATTCCCATTGAGATCAGAGGAGCCTCCAATAGGTATGCTTGTCCATTCCTCTTTGTTTAGGTTTTGATTATCCACAACAGTGTTACTGAAAAGCTGTAATTTCATCCACGTCTTAGTCTTCTGACCTTTATAAAACTGTGTTTTCTGATGTGTGCAGGGACACAGAGGCCGTAGGACACTGCCCTGGCATTGCGTGGTGTGCCCACACCCCTGGCTGAGATGGTGAAGTATGTCAAGTACCGTGTTTGTTTGTCTGTCATCTCCCATTGTGGTCTTGCTTGTGACTTTGCTAATTCATCTTACTCTTGATTTTAGTAGGTGAACAAGCTGGGGTTCTGCAAGCAGTTCTGTGGCCCAGAAGAATTCTTGGAAGCTAGGGCAGGAGAAAACAAACACCAGTGCTGATGAAGCTGACAAATTCAAGTCCGTTCTTCAAAAGAGCATTTTTCACTGGCAATGTAATTTTAGTCTGGAGTGCAGCAATAATTGAGTTCCTGGGACTGATTTGATACAGGTGAGACAGAGGGGTTGTGTTTAATTGATTGCTTGTTTTAGCCTTCTGAGATGGGAGAAGTATTGTGAAAGGTGGTTTGGCATAAGAAAAACTTTCAGTTCCCCTAAAAGGTAAAGTAATGAGGCTTTGGAACAGTCTCGTGTCTGTGTGAAGATGCTGCATCCCTCTGAGTACATGAAATGCTGGAAAAATGATCAAGCACATGTGCAGTGGTAATCCTGTAAAGCTAAAGAACAACAGCTGTCCGAGGATGAGGAGATTCACAGATAAGAATGGACATCCTAGGGCACACTATGTGATTCCAGGGAATATTTACCTACCAGGAGCAGTTGTATAACCTCACTATGAAGAAAATGGGGTTTGGCTGGGTTTGGTTTTCATTCCCAGTAGAGCAGTTAGGGTGTCGTGGAGGTTCTCACGGGCTGTGGGATGCCCCCACAGGGCCAAGTGATTTGCTCAGTCATGTTGGTAGCTGAACTTGGGTCTTAAAAGTAAGGCCAAACTCAGTTGGTAGCTCAGTGTTTTTAGAAATCTGGGCAAAATTCTTAATTGCTGTAGAAAATAGTAGCTATTTTTTCTTCAGAAAGGAACAGTGGTTATGTTATTGTGTATCTTTATTTTCTTCTTGTTTTTAAAGGCGTGGTACTGCACTTCCTATTGAAGGGAGGCAATGAAGGCAGGTATTTCCTGCTCTCCTGGCACTTGGGTGTCATATTTTCCTGTTGCTGTTGTTGTTTTGGGCTTTACCAAAGATGTTTTTTTTTTCATTCTGTGCTGCCTGCAAGGGCCAGGAAAAGAACGAGGTCTTGTTGTAGGTGCTTTATTAGCACATTCTGAGTTAACAGTCACAAAGCAGCTCTTGTATTCTTCTTACTGTCAAGTCTGGTTTTAGGCTGGCTAAACACTGTTAAGGAACTGGATGCATCAAAGACAATGGAGCAAGAACACTTAAACTTGGCTTGATCAGTGGTTTAATGTTTGGTTTCTCTCTTGTTTCTGGAGTCCTGCCCAATGCCATTGACTTTCAGCAGTTGCTCTTGTTGTAGAGAGTTAAGTTGGTGGAGAAACAGGGAGGGAGTCAACGGCAGTGACTTCAAGACTCTTGCCAGGTGAAAGGGGATGAGTCAAAGTAGTTGAGTTGAATGTTTGTTTGTTTTTTTTTTTCTGAAGAAGCTTTGGAGGATTTAAGATTCTTTTAGTGAAAGAATCCTTATCTTTAAATGATAGGGATTCAAAAATTCATTTACTTGTGCCTGTGGTAATGAAACAGATTTTCATGATAGAACAGCCCATAACAGGGGGTTAGAATGAGATGATCTTCCCTTCCAACCCAAACCATTCTGTTATTCTGTGAACAGACTTTGCTGGGATTTTTTTGTGGACTGTATCTTTTTTGGCCTTGATTCAGTAAAAAATGAAGAGAAATACAAAATAGTTACTCATAACTGTCACAACAGTTTGATGAGGAAGATTGAAACTTGTAGGATGAGTGGGTGTCAGTCAGTAGTAAATGCTGATTTGGGAAGCCACAGCTTTGAAGGGAGGCCTCAGCTTCAGTCCTTGGCTCTCCTGAAGTGAAATTCCCTTGGAAAGCAAATAAACAATCTCGAGGGAAAGTCCAGCAAGCTGTTAATGCTGGAGACTTACCCTGCCTCGACAATGGCATGGACAGCTGAGGAGTTTCTTAGCAAGCAGGAAAGGGAAACTTAGATTTCATTTAAAAGAAATTTGAGGGGGGAAAAGGCCTGATAAAAAATAACCTGCTTAGCAGGACAACTTGCTGTGCTCTCCCTGCCCAGACAGGCTCAGCGAAGCAATGCAGACACATCTCATATTGGGCTACTTGAATGTCACCTTGTAACTGTTCTCATTGTGTTGCTTTTCAGGGTGAGCAGCAAGAAGAAAATCCAGCTCTTGCATAACAATACTGGGGCAGTTTGGGGTCTGGTTTGATTTTGCTGTGAGGGTGTTGTGAACTGTAAGTTGTATGAAACTCCATGTTACGTGTTGAACAGCACATTAAACCTAATTACCCGAAGTTTTACTGTGTTATGTTCATGTTAATAAAGTGTGTGGAGTGGATCATTTCCCTTGTGAGAGTCTGAGGGGCAACAAGAAAGTCCAAGCCAAAATGCTCGTGGTATTGCTCAGAATTCATTAACTGTCTGTAGGTTTTATTAATGACTAAGTTCCTCACCTTTTGTTTAAAACTCAAAATTTTTTAAGATAGAAACAGTGTCCTAGTGGCAGTTGCAGCATCAAGTGCTTCCATCTGAAAGTGTTTCCTGGAATGCTTTTTCTTAGGGAACAAATTGAACCTGTTCAATGTATTGGAAGTTGTTTGTGCAGTTTATTAATTACACCCTTAAAAATGTTGGGTAAAAATACTGGACTGTAGAGTGTGTTGTGTTGGTGCCTTCGAGAAAAGGAGTAATTGAGATCAGCTGCTGAGTAATTTATCTAAATATATTTTGTTACTGAATAATTTGATCTCTTGCTTTAGTTTTTGCTTTTGGTGCCATGGAAGCCGATACATGAGCTGATATGTGACACCCCTTAATTATTTTCTTCTCTAACAGAGATGAAATAAGTGTGGAGTGCTTTCAGTAACTGAAGTTCAACAGAATAGTGTTGGCAGTTCTGAATTTGTTTTGTGGTTACTAGGTATGAGTAATCCTCGAAGGGTTTTTAGCTGAGAAGCTGAGGTTAGTACGACTGTGTTCAGTGTGTGTTTGTCACAAGGACAGAAACTCCCAGTCTCTTGATCAGAGTTTCTTTTTCTTCAACCACACACTTGCAAAAGCATTCAGGTCTTGATCTTACAGTTTTCAAACCAGCTGGGTTTTCCCCATCATCTTACACTAGAACAGCCTCTCTCTGGGGAGAAATTCCCCTAATTAGGTCATTACACTCCACATTCAATTTTTTTATATCAGCTACTTCACTGGCTGTAAGAAACTGTTGCTCTGAAATATTATCTTGATGCTCTTGAAATACCCAAATCCAGTGTTGCCTTATGAACAACAGATCTTTTGCCAAACGTCGCACAGATAGCTCTGAAAAAAAAAAAAAATTGAGCGGGTGATTTTTTTTTCTTTCTCAGAATGAAAATGCCACTTCCTTTGTGTTTGTGTTCTCCCTTTGCTCTGCACCTGAGCAGCTTTTCCTTGACTACCAAACATTCCCTCATGTGAGTAACTGTCTGGCTCACAGGAAAGGTCTGGTGACACTTGTGTCTTTCAGTGCTCTCACATTTTTGGTTGTCAGTGCCATCAGGGTGAGAAGGGAAGAGGACTCAGCCTTCAGTTATTTTTTCCTTTAAAGTCTTCAAGATCACAAGAATCTGCAGCTGCAGGAGGAGCTCTGCCCTTCTGGGGCACGTGGGCACCGCATTCTCAGCCTGTTCAGCCTCCTCCTTGTGCCTCTGTAAATGCACACTGCAGATGTGTGTATTAGTGAACAACTTACTGTTGTGGCAGTAGATTAATACCTAAAATGTGTCGTGTTGAGGGGCACTTGCTGGATAAATGACTGATAGAATGATTATTGTGGTTCATAGGACATGAATATTGCACGATGCAGCCCCTCTTGCTGCTTCCCCCAGACCCCCCATTACACTGGTACTTCATGCCGAAGAAAAATCAAGAGACAGGAGACTCTTAAAAACTTCCTTTTGTGCTGTTATGATGTGATGGATGATATATTTGGGTTGCTGCATCAACATATGCTTTAGAATACCTGACTTCTGTAGAGCAGAATATTATCCTTAGTATTTGCCAGTGAACTTTGCAGGACGGTGAATGGAAATGATTTCGATTGTGCCAAGAATAGAACAAGAACAAGGGCTGTGCTTCGGTCAAAGTGAGGTTTTCCTGCACCTGTGGGTCTGTGGGAATTGTGGAACTTGTTCAAATGTCAGAACTAAATCTAAAGGAATTATTTACCCCCTTGCTCCAGTGATACATTAAAAATTACTCTGAGCAATGTAGTAAGTTTGTTCTTGGCAATATTGAGTACTTAGGGCAGGAAAATACAGTATGAAAATGAGAAAAAATTCTATATAGATTTATAGTGTACAAACACTGAATTTTGGTTTTGTTTTGTGTTTGTTAAGTGGTTTTACTGTGCCAGTTGGTTTCCTTGAAACTGCATCTTATCAAACCTTTTGAAATGTGACTCTTTTAAGTATGGAAACTGGGAAACTTCCAAGTTAGGACAGGTTCTGTGTTGAACATAAATTTCAGGCCGTTACCTAAAGAACTGGAACATGTAACACCAGTTTTCATAGTATTTAGTCTTCCATTATTTTGCCTTTACAGTAAATTATTTTCTAAAATCACAATAATTACAACTGTGCTCTTAGCTCAAATAACTTTGTATCACTTGAGGACTTCATGTGTCTTGTGGCAGAAAGGCTGTCTGGCCTATGTTGTGATTTCCTTTTGTAGTAAAAATACCTGCAAAACATGAGGCAAAAAATTATTTAAAGCAGCTCTTGCAGCTTTCTTGGTGAAATAAGGAATTGTGTCGATCATCACGGACACCCCTGGAGAGGGGACTAGAGCTGAGGTGAGAGGCTGGAATAGGTTGCTTGGAAAAACATAGTTCCGAATTCCTCAGGCTTAGCAGATCATCTTGGGTTTTATCTCGTGGTAAAATAGGAATACATTTGAAATGGGAGGTTTTCTGAGGCAGGATGGTTTGTGTGATTTCCCAGTAGGAAATACCCCCATGGCTGAGACGGCGCTCGGGGCTCCTTTCGGGAGACGTTTCCCTGTGCTGGGCCCGTCACTGACGCGTCTTTGGGGCTCCCGAGTCGAGGCACCCTGAGAGAGCTTGAGCCACCTGTTTGGGGTGTTCTCATGAGTCACTGCTGAAAGTGCTGAGCAGTGGATGGCAGCAGGGAAAATGCATCAAAGGAGGAATTTGGAAGGTGGGAGTAGTGGAGTTTCAGTTGGAGCTGTGTGAGTGAGCCGTGGGTTACAGAGGAATGGTGGAGCTGAGCGTTTTCTGTGGTTGGAGTGGTTACCTCTGTCAAGACAAGCCTGCTTCCTTTCTTTTCCCCTGTCTCAGCAGAAGCAATTAATGTAATTTATAATTCCAGAGGGATTCCTCACCAGTACAGGAGTCAGAGCTCTGGCAGGGGGGACTGTGTTTTCACCATGCTGAGGATTCAACCTATAAATTGGACACTGCTGAGATCAGGTAGAGCTGATAAGTGAGAAGTCTCACATCTTCCCCACCTCACTTGGGTCAATACTTTCTTCTATGGTTCTTGTGCATAAATGTAATATTGGTGTGTATTTAACTGCCCCCTCAGTGCTGTTTGTAGTCCTGCTTTCCATGCCGTGTTCCCTGTAGTTGTATCCATGGACTGCCCAGGGTGTCTGGAAAGGAAGAAGGGAAGTGTTTGTGTGTGCAAACACACTCTCATTCTCCAGTTTATGTTATGAAATCTTGAACTAACATGGATTGAAGGGATCTCTGAGGGTCATCTCATCCACCCTGCTCCAGGCAGGGCTGACTTCAGGTTTGGATCAGGTTACTTGTGGCCTTGGCTAGCTGGGTTCTGAAAATAGGTATTTTATAGAATTTGGAAATGTTGTTTCATACAACATGGGAGCCAGGAGTTTGGATTCATCTTGCATTGCTGTTTTCCTTTTTATTTTTTTTTACTGTTACTATATTAGTCAAGATCCTGATTCATGTTTTTTAAGATACATGACCTGACAGTATGGGAATGCTTAAAGTACTTTCGTGTGGACACCTAAATTACACAGCTACAACTGCTGATTTGAATAGCTTTGCCTGTTCTAGGTGACAGTGTGTGACGTGGAGATGTTTTAAGGTGTATCCCAAAGACCTTTCTTGGGCTTTAAGAGAGGATATGTTCTGAAGGGAGGTGAGCACAGACACTGTGTAAAGCATTCTTTCTTACAGGATTGCTGTTATGTGTGGTGTTTGTAATTCTCTTGTGCTTATAGGGGCAAAAATAGTTTGGTAAATGAGTGTTCAGGAGGTAGAGACACTGCAAAATCAGGGTATCTTGTATGGAGATAGAGTGTTATTTACTTTGGTTACACTGGTTTATTGGCTTCAACCAGATCAAGTGAAGAACTGCATATACTTTCCTAGAAAAATGGATTTTTTAAAGATATTTTAAAGCTAACTAAAGAAGTAATTGTTTTTCAAAATAGGCTTATTCTACTTCCCTGATGTCAGTGTGTGTTCTTGCCCTTCACCTCCACATCCTTGACGTGTCTGTGGAATCTCATTCTTGCTCTTGCTGGTTCTCTTCACAAATCCCTTTGCTCTCCCTCTGTGCTCCTTCCTGGCCGATCCACCTTGGTGCAGCCCTCACGAGACATCCCAGCAGAAGAATTTTACCTGTGTTTGTGAGCTTTGTTTAAACAATCATTTCAAAGCACTTCTTGACGTGACCTATTTTTTTTCAAATGCAAACACTCAGCAACACTAAGGCAACAAGTGTTACCTTCAGTGGCAAGAAATAAACCCCTACTTTAGTAGGATTCTGTTGGAGTTTAAAAAAATTCATCATAGGGTAAACTCAGCCTGGCTTTGAGTGTGTAGTTCAGTCGTGTTTAGCTTGTGATTCACCTCTTGATGTGGGATGACTTAAACTGAATCTCTGCACAGCAGCTCTGATACTCCTTGTGCTGTTTTAAATTCCCCAGTTAAATAAAACTACTTGTGGATAGTATTTATTTTGCAGCATATTTAAAAGATCCAAATGACTTGTCTTTCCTTCTCCAGAAGGGCAGCTGAAAGTACAGGTTGCAGAGGACGATTCCCTGAAGTGAATTTCCTGCCTTGAACATCCTGATTGTGGTTTGGGCTCACAGCTTTGAGCCTGGGCAAGATTTGAGCACAAACACCTCACCAGGTTGTACTTTGGGAACTTTGCCATAAATCAGGACAGCTGCTGGTGTGCTTTATGAATGTGCACAAAAAAGAACTGGTGAGTCATGTAGTCCTAAACTAGTCCTAAATCAGCATGTTTTGGAAGTCTGCTT